TACGCTGACATGGAAGGACACTGCATGCCTACGGTGGACAACAGCATGGGCAGTTTTATTTGAAGCTTTTTACAAGCAACTGTTTCAAAAAATATTCATACATACATATGTAAAAGCAAACGAATGTCTTAACAAGTAGGTTATATTGCATAAAGTCAGACAAAAGTTAAATAATGCAAAAATGAAGATTTCCTGCAAAACCGAATTCAGGGCCTCATGTATATGCCTTTTAATACAGATGGCAGCCAGCCCCCAAAGCCTTTGTGTTCTCTTCTTGCAATTTTATCCCATTCACTAAACGAAGGAACAAATAAACTTTAATTCCTGCAGAAACACATCCCCAGACACAGGAATTGGGAGCACTACTGGGTCCCACAATAGCAACAGAAGCAGCACATCTCTTTCTCTGATTTACCTATTCTCACTCCACAGCCCCATCTCGGTAATTCCCCTGCTTTTCCCTGTGACCCTATTCCCTAAACTTCTCCCCACACTTAGCTTCTCATTGACCCTCATTTTCCCTGTCATTCTCACTGCTTTTCCAAGCTCTTTCTAGCAGTTCAGCTAGCTCCAGTTTCTTAATTTCACATTTATTTTCACTCTCTTCAGGAAACCCCTTCTGCAGTATCTCTGACAATTACGTGTCTTGTATCATTACATGTATTTTTACCACTTTCATAACACTGAAGAGTGCTGACTCCAAACAAATAAACAGCTGCTGTGATTTACAACTTACCTAAAGGAAAGCCATACCAATCTCTGTGTTGAGAAGCTAGAGAGCTGGGTGGTGATGTAAGAAAGTGATGAATCAGGTTTTGTTCAGCAAACAAAAGCATCACAGTTCTCTCCCAAGATCCCTTGCCAGTGGGGCATAATCTAGAATACAAAGAATCGAAGTAAATAAAATAAAAATAATTGGGCTGAATAGTGGCAGAAGAATAACAGTTGCATTCAGAAAGTGGAGAATCATATGGTATACTGGTACAAGCCTCTAGTATTTATAGCATCTCACAGTGCCAACATTAATTAAATAATCCTGAAAAAACTGCTGTAAGGAAACTATATAAATATTACTCTAACCTCCACTTTACTGATAAGGAAGCTGAGACGGAGACTTACTGTATTAGCGATAACTTGAAAATGTGTTTCATTTCAAACTTGAGACATTTCCACGTCTCCAGCTGAGCTGCCAGCTACCAATGCACACTACGTTACTGAACACTGGAAATTCAGCTCTGTGTTTTGCCCAGAGTCACACAGTGACTCGGAATCAGAGCTTGCATTCAGATGCTACATTTCTAGGGCACAGCGATGGCAGTGTCCAGTAAACCATGCTGCCTGTTGTATTGCATCTAAGTGGTCATAAATGACACAGAAGCCTTGCGCACACATCTGCATTGGGCTGGAACCACTTGGATGGCATAGACTTGAAGAGTTTGACATTCTCAGGCATCATTACTTTTACCGCCTGCTTAGAACAAATAATAAAACAGAGAAAAGGGACTGGGAAAAGTAATAAGTAAGAAAGTATTGTAGGAAATAGTAAAAAGAGTCGAGAAACAAAAAAAGTGTAAAACAGGTGAAGAGTAAAATACACTGGTACCCAGCTGTATTTTAAGGATTCTTCACTTCCTTGTGGAGAATATGGGCTCTGCTCCAGATTTTTTTCCCTAACATGGGTTCAGTTTAGAAGCGGGGTAGAGAGACTGGCACATATTCAAATGAGTTTTCTGAACCACAAAGCAATTCGGGGAAAAAAAAAAAAAAGAAGTTGCAAAACCTTGAAATCTGGGATGTTGGCCCATTCATAGCCTGCCTCACATTAACATCTGCACTGACTCTCCACCACTAAAGTCACTGAATATAACAAATGTTTAGCATCTCTCAGCCCTGCAATGTCATCACCTTTTGCTTTCTAACTCCTTCGATCATAGAGATGTGATCTAATCTTTCTCTTAATTCTCAAAGCAACCTTTTGAACCGGACACACAGTTTTCAGCTTTAAATGATGATTTTAAAGGATTCTTACCTAGCATCCCCCAGAGCTGCTAGCGGGAATATTGCTCTCTTATATGCATCACGAACAGCAATTTAGGAGGTGAACTCCTAGGCTTCAGGAGTTATGTACAGGAGCGTATTCCTCAAAATGCTCAGCAATGCTTGCTGTGAACATGGGGTACTGGAAGGGAGCCAGCAGGCATCAATTTGACATGCAGTCACTTTTTATTTCACCCTGGAGCATCCCAGGATGTAGCACACATCAAGGTGAAAGGGAACGTGCATTCGCTTTAAAATTTCCCCACTGCTTTTCCTTCCTCCTTGCTCTGCTCATTTACCACAGCGTAAACTCAGAGAGCACCACCACAGAACAAACTCCTCAGTACAAAGAACAGCTTATGCTGTTTGGGCTCAGAATTGTAATTATATGGTCTTAGTCAAATTACCACTTTGCACTTATTAATGTTAGGATTGAGCACCACCATGCGTTTTCACAGCTAAGTAAAAGGATGTATTCATCTGTGCCACATTAACGTTGTCAGGATCAGAGCACTTTTCAACAGTGCTTAGCGCAAGGACGTCCTAGTCAGAGCTCAGGATACTAAACCACCAGTATCATACCAGAAATTAAACATGCATAAATACTTGCAAATGTTTTTTCATATTACTCCTCAAACAGAAAAAAAACCCCGAACCCTACTGCTCCTCTTCAAGAGACTTTTTTAAAAGCCAACCAGAAAGTAATAAAAAATAATTTTAAAAGATTACAAATAGAGAGACGATCACACTATATATCATTTTCATAGCCTGAATTTTTAAACAGGCCTGGAGGATGCATAGTTTTATGACAGGGTGTGACTTTGATTACCAGTTGCAGCTTTGGAAGCTCTCCAGCACTACTGTAAGGCGCTGCCTCTGTGCCAAGGACAACTGTGTGTCATTAAAGGAAAAAGCAACCCCTTCGTGACTGGGATACATACACAGCGACTGGTTTTACGTGCAGTCAGAAGCTAAACTCAGCTACAGTAGTCTGTCATTTGTACCACTCTTTTGGAAACCAAAGTGCTCTTATGCACTGAATATAGAAAAGAACCCAAAATACATATCCAGGCAGGAAATACATTAAATTCATATCCACTTGGGAAAGAAATCAGGCTTCTAGGCAGTTTTTGCTCATACTGCGCTTCTTCACTGAGATTTACTTGCACTAGAAAAGGCTCTTAAAAGTTACAGCAGCCATTCTGAAGAAACTTGTAGTTGGAGCACAGCTGCTCACCTCTGCTCTTTTGTTCCCTTCCTTATTTACCACCAAACGAAAAAGAGAATCTAACCTTCTACACAGCAAGACCTAAGATGAGTGAGGACTGAAACTTTCACTTCCTCCCTTAAATTTAACAGCGTCTCTGCTGATGCCAAGGGGAGCTGCAGTCTGTACCGTCTCCACTTGATTTCACATACTACATAAGAAACCAGACTTTACCGCAGAACCATTTTTTTCCCTTTAAACTATTCCTGCAAAGCAGAATACCCGAGCGCAAAAGGCCATCTTTGTACAAAATACATTTTTTCTTCTACATGTTGTCCATGCACAAAACCACTGCAGCTGAAGCAAGTTTCCAAGAATCGCAAGAGCAGCTGAGAAGGGACCCCTGATTCAACAGACACAAAAAGATAATATGCCTGTCAGGAGCCAGCTCAGAAGCTAAGGAAGTTCCGAGTCAGGATCCCTGGGTATGGAGCAATCTCTTTTCGGGGTTAATGATGAAAAAGTGATGCCGGTAGCGCAGGATAGCCACACATGGAAAAGTTGCCTTTACCGGCCTCCCTGGGGCCCCGGCCGAGCTCTGGTGGGGCCCCGGTGCAGTTCACCCTCACGGCCGGCGATGAGGGAGGTGCGGGGGCCTTGCTCCGCGGCTGCCCTGGATTTTACCTCCCAAAGCCGCCATTTCCTGCGTGAACCCGACAGAGGCAGCCCCGAGGAGCCCCCCTCCGGCGGGCGGTG